TCTATCTATCTATCTATCTATCTATCTATCTATCTATCTATCTCCATGTCTGTCTGTCTGTCTATCTATCTATCTATATCCATCTCTATCTATCTATCTATCTATCTATCTATCTATCTATCTATCTATGTCCATCCATCCATCCATCTCCATCCATCCATCCATCTCCATCCATCCATATCTATCCATCCATCTCTCTCTCTCTCTCTCTCTCTCTCTCCATCCACCCACCTACCCACCCACTCACCCACCTACCTACTTACCTTTCATCTACCTATATTACATTTCCAATTAGTGTAATAACTATAATGTAATGTGATGTGATGTCATGTAATATAATGAAATTAAATGTGATGTGATGTAATGTAATGTAATGAAAGATAATGAAGGGAGGGAGGGAGGGAAGGAAGGAAGGAGATGGGAGGGAGGGAGGGAGGGAGGGAGGGAGGGAAGGAAGGAAGGAAGGAGATGGGAGGGAGGGAGGGAGGGAGGGAGGAAGGAGGTGAGAGAGGGAACGGGGAAGGAAGGAAGGAAGGAAGGAAGGAAGGAAGGAAGGACGAAAGGAAGGAAGGAAGGACGAAAGGAAGGAAGGAAGGAAGCAAGGAAGCAGACAGCATTTTGTAAGCACCCCTATTGTGCTCACGGAAAACTCCACATGCTTCTGACTTTGTAAATAAGCCATTTCTGTGGGAAATGACATAACAACATTATCAAACGAAAAACACAGCGTTAGCTTCACCCAGCGCTCCTAAGGGTTTTCCAATATTCCACATCTTTAATGAAAATCATGGGAGTCAACAGCTGAAGGCAGCCAATTCAACAGAACCCTGGGTTATGTTTGGAACAATTCAGATTATAAAGAAAATATCACACCAAGCTTCATTTAAATAACAACAACAACAACAACAACAACAACAACAACAACAACAACAACAACCTTCCCAAGCAAAGAGACGAAGCAGAATTGACGCTTTCATCCCCTTTGCCTGAATTTTACCTCGAGGGAGATTGGACCGATATGCCAAGTACTCACATCAAAAAGCTGCACGTAATTTACAATTAAGTCCTCCACCACATCAACCTCTTCGCTCATTTGTCCTTTGGTTTGAAACAAGCAGGAGGAGAAAGCCATCGCCAGATTGTGGGGCTCCATCAGGTTGATCTCTGAACATTTCTGAACCCTGTAGATGAAGTTCATTAATCCATTAAATATATATAGTGTGAAGTTTCCGAAAGATGCCCTAATTAATTCATGAGCCATGAGCCGAACTTCAAAAGAAATACAGTCATTTATTAGGAGCACCATTTCGGCAATATTCGGATGCAGTTAGAACTAATCCCACGTAGATTTACGTTCCCCTATGACCCTGTCTCTCCCCTCCTCTCTGGCCATGTCATAAATCACACTCTCCAATTAACCACTTTGGCTGGCTGTGAAATCCAACACCCTCCTTCTGATTGCGGTCAGGAAGAATGTATGGAATGCACTTCAGTTAGGGAAATCAATCAGCTCTATCAGTTCTCCCTCCCTCCTGCTCATGGCAACTTGAAAGCTTTGCAAGTTGACATATAGATACATACAACAGAGTTCAACTCAAAGAGACGTTCACATCAAATTGAACTTCTACGGGTTTCCAGCTCAGGAACTAATTCTCATGCCTCTAGTTTGACCCAATCCCTTTCTTGAGCCGTGGTGGCGCAGTGGTTAGGATGCAGTATTGCAAGCTAACTCTCCCACTGCCAGGAGTTCGATCCTGACCGGCTCAAGGTTGACTCAGCCTTCCATCCTTCCGAGGTCAGTAAAATGAGGACCCAGATTGTTGGGGACAATAACCTGACTCTGTAAACTGCTTAGAGAGGGGCTGTAAAGCACTGTGAAGCGGTATATAAGTCTCAGTGGTATTGCTATTGTTCTCATATGGATTATATGGAGTTTTCTGTGAGCACGATAGGCGTACTTACAAAATGCTGTCTCTCTCCTTCCTTCCTTCCTTCCTTCCTTCCTTCCTTCCTTCCTTCCTTCCTTCTTTCCTTCCTTCCTTCCCTTCTGAGTGGTTAAAATGCAGAATTGCAGGCTAACTGCCAGGAGTTTGATCCTCAACGTCTCAAGTTTGACTCCGTCTTCCATCCTTCCCAGTTTGGTAAAATGAGGACCCAGATTGTTGGAGGCGATATGCTGACTCTGTATTGCTTACAAAGTGTTGTAAAGCTTTATGAAGCAGTATATACCAGTAAGTTCGAGACCGCCTTCTACCGCATAGCTCCCAGCATGTGCGTGCTGACCAGCTGATTTTCGGGCCTTCCGGGCCCACTGGAAGTCAGGAAACGGGCTGTTTCCAGGCCTCCGGAGGGCCTTGGGGGGCGGGGGAAGAGGCTGTTTTCGCCTTCCCCAGGCTCCTAGAAAGGCTCTGGAGCCTGGTGAGGGCAGAAAATGGACCTACTGGGCCCACCATGCCATCGCGTGCCGAAAGCGGGGGGAGAGTGGGGGAGGTATGCGTGCATGTGTGGGGGGACGGGGCGCATTGAATTATGGGTGAGGGCACAAGCGCATGCAATCCCCCCCACTACCCCCGCTTTTGGCACGCGATGGCAAAAAGGTTAGCCATCAGTGGTATAGGGTCTCCTGCTTAAGCAGGTAGTTGGATTAGAAGACATCTAAGTCTCTTCCAACTCTGATATTCTGATATGCATTCCCAGGATGTCTTTGCAGGCTACAGTTTTATTAATCCCACTTCACATGTATAATACAGGAGGCGAATATAATATAATATAATATAATATAATATAATATAATATAATATAATATAATATAATATAATATCAGATGTTATTCTTACAGTCCTCAGACAGTATCAGCTAATGCTGGAGAAGTATACATCAGAGGTGGTATTCAGCCGGTTTAGACCGGTTTGCCTGAACTGGTAGCGGAAATCGCAGGTGGGACTGCTCACCCGCCCTGGCTCTATGCTGTCCTATTTAGGCCAGGCGTTTTTGAGGCCAGGCGCATGCGTTCCAGCTTATTTATTATTTATTTATTTATTTATTTATTTATTTATTTATTATTTATTTATTTATTTATTTATTTATTATTTATTTATTGGTTCGATTTATATGCCGCCCTTCTCCGGAGACTCAGGCGGCTTACAATGCGTTAAGCAATAGCCTTCATACTTTTTGTATATACCTGCTTAGTAGGGCTTTTGCCCACCCCCAAGCGGTGTTCTTTTTTATACAAAGTCGGCTTATTGCTCCCACAATCTAGGTCCTCATTTTACCTACCTCGAAAGAATGGAAGGCTGAGTCAACCTTGAGCCTGGTGAGATTTGAACTTGCAGTAATTGCAGGCAGCTGGTGTTACTCAACAGCACTTTAGTCTGCTGTGCCACCAAGGCTCTATTCTGACGATGATGATTATCCCACCACCAGCTCGAATCATGCTTTCAGACTGACCTGTAAAGATGTTCCATTAATGCTGCCAGAGTTGCTTTGTTGACGGGTGGAAGGGCGTGCGAATGAAGGTGCTGTATTTTCTCACCCTGTCTTTGTCATCCAGTGTATCTGAGGGAGAAGAGAGAGGGCAGAAATTAAATTACCCGGGATTATCGTATTTTTCAAAGTATAAGATGCACCTTCCCCCCCCCAAATAGAGGGTGAAAATCTGGGTGTGTCTTATACTCCGAATGTAGCCCCGCCCAGCCTTGCAAACGGAGATTTCAGAGGCTGAAAGAAGCTTCAGAAAAAAAAAGCCTCTGAAAGGCTTTTATCTAAAATAATATGGCAAAAAGCAAAAGAAGAATCAGTAAAGGTTCTAACCAAACTATGTTAACGAATCTGGAGAATGACACAATAAGCAACAGATCGGAAGAAGTTAATCTACATACCAATACCAAAGAAAGGAAATTGAACCGAATACAGATAGTCCTTCAGAATAAAAGCGTCTGAAAGAAGCTTCAGAAAAAAAGCCTCCGAAACAGAGCTTCAGAAAAAAGCCTCTGAAAGAAGCTTCAGAAAAAAAGCCTCCGAAACAGAGCTTCAGAAAAAAAGCCTCTGAAAGAAGCTTCAGAAAAAAAGGCTTTTTTTCTGAAGCTCTGTTTCGAAGGCTTTCAGAGGCAGAAAGAAAAAGTTTTTTTCTGAAACAAAGTTTCAGAAGTTTCAGAGGCAAAAAAAAAAGCAAGGCACAGCTCACAACCAATGAAACTGTTGCTAAAATTCACCTCTGGAAACAGCTGTTTGGGGGTATTCTGGGAGGCCGATCCACCCACCAATCAGCTTTTTTCTTATTTTTCTCCCCAAAAACTAAGGTGTGTCTTATACTCTGGCATATCTTATACTCCGAAAAATATGGTAACTACCATGCGGATGAAAAGACAACCGGAATTTGCCCTGTCCCTTCAGCAGCACTGAGGAATTTGCAAAAATTGTTTAGCCAATCACCCTCTCCTTCATTGACACAATACAAATACAGATGGTCCTTGACTTATGACCACAACTGAGCCTTTAGTCACAACTGAATTTCGGTCACCACAACATAAAAAAGATGTTGACACTCTGGAAAGAGTGCAGAGAAGAGCGACAAACATGATTAGGGGGCTGGAGGCTAAAACATATGAAGAACAGTTACAGGAATTGGGTACGTCTAGCTAATGAAAAGAAGGACCAGGGGTGACAGGATAGCCGTGTTCCAATATTTGAGGGCCTCCTACAAAAACAAGGGAGTCAAACTATTTTCCAAAGCACCAAAAGACAAGAAAAGAAACAGTGATTGGAAACTACCGTATTTTTCGGAGAATAAAACGCACCATTTTCCCCACAAAAAGAGGGTGAAAATCTGGGTGCGTCTTATACTACGAATGTAGCCCCGCCCAGCTTCTCAAACGGAGGTTTCAGAGGCTGAGAAAAGCATCAGAAAAGAAGTTTCAGAAAAAAAAGCCCCCAAACAGAGCTTTGGAGGCTTTTTTTTCTGAAGCTCTGTTTCAGAGGCTTTCAGAGGTAGGAAAAACAGTTTTTTCTGAAACAGAGTTTCAGAAGTTTCAGAGGCAGGAAAAAAAGGCAAAAAAAAAAAAAAAAAGCAAGGCACAGAGCTCACAACCAAGGAACCTATTGCTAAAAGCCGAGGTGGCGCAGTGGTTAGAGTGCTGCAGTACTGCAGCTACTTCAGCTGACTGCTAGTTCAGCAGATCAGCGGATCAAATCTCACTGGCTCAAGGTTGACTCAGCCTTCCATCCTTCCGAGGTGGGTAAAATGAGGACCCAGATTGTTGGGGGCAATATGCTATTTAGTATACTGTCTTTGGTGTAAGCCGCCCAGAGTCCTCGGAGAGTGGGCGGCATAGAAATATGAAAAATAATAATAAAAAATAATAAAATTCACCTCTGGGAACAGCTGATTGGGGGGATTCCGGGAGGCTGATCCACCTGCCAATCAGCTTTTTTCTTATTTTCCTCCCCAAAAACTATGGTGCGTCTTATACTCTGAAAATGACGGTAACCAAGGAGAGAAGCAACTTAGAACTAAGGAGAAATTTCTTACTGGTGAGAATGATCAACCAGTGGAACAGAAGTTGCCTTCAGAAGTTGTGGGTGCGCCAACATTGGAAGTTTTTAAGAAGAGACTATATGACCATTTGTCTGAAATAATATAGGGTCTCCTCAGAGGTGAAATCTAAAATTTGTTACTACCGGTTCTGTGGGCGTGGCTTGGTGTGTGTGTGGGGGGGGTAATGTGACTGGGTGGGCGTGGCCAATTTTTTTTTTTTTACTTTTAAAACCATTTTTTCTACAACCTCTTCAGCGAAGAGGTTGTAAAAAAATGCTTTCAAAAGGTTCTGATGATCCCAGCTGAGTTGCCTGATGGGCAGAGGTTTTTTAAAAAGCCTCTGCTGATCAGGCAACTCAACTGGGATCGTCAGAGGCATTTAAAAGAAATGTTTTTCTATGTTTTTCTGTAGCTATGCTTGCATTTTGGTCTGTGACCATAAATAAATTTATATATATAGAAGAAAAAAAGGGTTTTGTTCTTTTAAAAGCCTTTGACGATCCCAGCTGAGCCGCACGATCATCAGAGGCTTCTTTTTTTTTTTATTTTTAAAAGCATTTTTTGGCCGAAGAGGTTGTAGAAAAAATGCTTTTAAAAGTAAAAAAAAAAAAGCCTCTGATGATCGCGTGGCTCAGCTGGGCATGGGGGAGTGGGCAGGGATTTTTGCTATCGGTTCTCCGAACCACCCGCTTCCATTGCTACCGGATCGGGCGATCCGGTCCGAACCGGGAGCATTTCACCCCTGGGTCTCCTGCTTAAGCAGGGGGTTGGATTAGAAGACCTCCAAGGTCCCTTCCACCTCTATTTATTCTATGTTTTATCTTCTATCCAGGTTCAGTAGACAGAGCTTCAGAGCTATTCCATAATGGCATTACCTAATGCTGAGATCCAAAAAGGATAAAGTTCTTTGGTCAGTAGCGCATCGTCTAGTTCACAAAGAAAACATTTTAGCGTATCCGTAACATCTTCCAGGCGGTTCGTCCCGGCCCTCAGCTTAACACTTCTGGCATCTTTTTTGAAACCTTCCAAAAGCTCCCTCACACATGAAGGATCTCCATTCTTCAGGTAGATATGTTTGCTTCCCAAACCTTAAATAAGAAAAAAATAAACATTAATAATAAAAAAAAACCCAACCAATGTCAAAGAAACAAGATGCTCCATGCCATTTTATGTGGAACAACTTTTTGTGGCCCGCTAGCGGCCTGCGCGGATTGTGGCTGATCCTGACGACGAGGAGGCTGGTGTGGTGTCGTGCCGGCAGCCTGTGCAGCCGGCGCTTGAGTCGGACAGCGAGGAGGCTGAAGAAGATGTGGTGCCAGAGGCAGAGATTCAACCAGGGCCTTCAGAACCTCCAGAAGCTTCCATGGGTGAAGAGGACGAAGTGGAGGAGCCTCTTCTCAATGCACGGGCACGCAGAGCTGCCCAAAGGCAGGAGTGGTTACTCAGGAGGAGGTCTCCTCGAGAGTAAGGCTTGGGCTAATTGGCCACTCCCTTAGCCTATTTAAGTTTGCACACAGTTTGTAAAAAGCTGCAGGAAACAACGTGTGTTCGTCCGTTTGTTCGCTGATCATTGAGTTTGGATTTTCTCTGCAAACCTGGCTTCTGGGCTTTCTGCCAACTCTTGTAAGACTTACCTGTGGAATTTCTGGCAGATTGTTAAGAACGTTTTTATTAACAGCCTGCATTTGCAAAAGACTGTGTTTTGAAGTAAACTGAGTTTTGTTCGGCGTTTGTTGTGTGTGTGCTACATTCTTTGGGATCCGTAGCTGGGGCAACCTCACATAATGGCTCTGAGCCTCTTGTTTATATTTCATCGGCAGAAAATGTTTTGAAATCGTTTCAGTGATCTTGCTGGAAGCAAAATTCAGACCTCGAAGAGAACCTTAACGAATTTTTGGACCTCAGAGAATGCCAACACACTCAGCACAAGGTAGAGACATATTAGAGAAGGCTGTCTATATATGAGATATGCTATATAGCCAGATATAAAACTAGATTGTTCATTCAAGGTTTTTGATATTCTAGAACAGTGATGGCTAATCTTTTCTGGAGCGAGTGCCCAAATACAAGAACAGTTTTTTCCCGAACGCCATCACTCTGCTAAACAAATAATTCCCTCGACACTGTCAAACTATTCACTAAGTCTGCACTACTATTAATCTTCTCATCATTCCCACCGCCCATCTCCTCCCACTTATGACTGTATGACTGTAACCTTGTTGCTGGTATCCTTACGATTTATATTGACTGTTTCCTAATATGATTTGATTGCTTATTTGTCCCCTATGACTATCATTAAGTGTTGTACCTTATGATTCTTGGTGAAAGTATCTTTTCTTTTATGAACAGTGAGAGCATATGCACCAAAGACAAATTCCTTGTGTGTCCAATCACACTTGGCCAATAAAAAATTCTATTCTATTCTATTCTATTCTATTCTATTCTATTCTATTCTATTCTATTCTATTCTATTCTACTCTACTCTACTCTACTCTACTCTACTCTACTCTACTCTACTCTACTTCTATTCTACTCTATTCTATTCTATTTCTACTCTATTTTATTCTACTCTATTTTATTCTACTCTACTCTACTCTATCTACTTCTATTCTATTCTATTCTATTCTATTCTATTCTATTCTATTCTATTCTATTCAAATCTTTGCTTATGATTACTGAAAGAGCAAGTGTCTAGAGCAGAGGTGTGAAACTCTATTTCATTGAGGGCCGCATCAGGATTGTGTTTGGCCAGGTGGGGGGTGGAGTGGGCGTGGCCACGGTGGGTGTGACCAGCATGATGTCACTCATGTCAGGGTGGCCTGAGAGCTCTGCCAGTGAAAACAGGCTCCCAAGCTCCGTTTTCAGCTGGGACGGCCTCCTGAAACCCTCTGCCAGCAAAAATGGAGCTCGGGAGAGCCGTGCGCAGTCCTCCCGAGTTCCATTTTCACTGGCTTAGGAACCACAGGCCGGTCCTTTGCTGTTTCCAGGGCATCCTCACAGGCCAGATCTAAGCACCCCGTAGGCCAGATCCGGCCCGCACGTTTTGAGTTTGACACCCCTGGTTTAGGGAGTGTGGCTGGCAAAATGTTCTTGCAATAATTTTAGCAAGGGGTTCTCTGCCGGGTTGCTGGGTGGGTGTGGCCATGGTGGGCGTGGCCTGGTTAGCCTCCTGCACCATGGCGAGGGGGGCATTTTTGCCCTCCCTGGGCTCCCGAGGCTTTTCACGAGCCTCCAGGAGGCCGAAAATGACCTCCCCAGGCTCCGGAGGCCCTCTGGAGGCCGGAAACGGCCCCCATTATGGCCTTCCCAAACTTCCGGTAGGCCCGTTTTTCACCCTCCCAGAGCCTCCACACGTGTCCTGCATTTACCTGCATCCAAAACGGGCCACGTGGGGACTCCTGGGAGTGATGGGGCAGGGTGGGCAGTGCGGGGCCAGCCAGGAATGGGGTTTGGGGGTTCTCCAAACTGCACAGAATCTTAGCTAGAGGTTCTCCCGAACCCCTGCGAACCCCCAGCAGCTCACCCCTGAATGCAGTGTGAAAAATGATCGTTAAGACACTTTTTTTTCACCGCAGCGGCAACTTCGAACACTCACTAACTGAAGTGTTTTAAGTCGAGAACAACCTGCCCCACGTAGGGCATCATCAATGTACAGTTAATTATTCCCTTCAAATAAAACAGAACCCTCTGGTTCTCTAGGATGCTCTAATTTTAATTTCCCAGTGTTATTGCTCTAGTAATAAGATACGGCGGTCCCTTGGTACTCAACTGCTTTGAAACTCATCGAATTTGGTACTCAACGCATTTCGACATGAAAATGTCATCCCGGTACTCATCATTTGTTTGGTACTCGACACACAAACTAGAACTTCTCAGTGTCAGCTGCCTTGTGACTCACTACATTATTCCTTACGGGAAAAAGTTGTTTGGTACTCATCGTTTTTGGCACTCATTGCGCCTCCCGGAACCGATAAGTGACGAGTACCAAGGTAGTACTGTACACATTCCACTTTGAATACACCTACTCCATACTGAGCATTGCAGGAAAGGCCACTCAAACTGTAGTCTTTATGCATCACAGCTGAAGCCCATGTAACGTAATCTGATGGTGATGCTTCTTAAGTCCTCTATCCGAGTGCATCTCCAATTTTCAGGAATCTGAACAAATGCTCGTCTCCACTTACCGTACTGCGTAACAAATGCGATACAGCTGTTCACTATAATCGGCACGTCGTTTCTGCTGAGCTGCTGATCTTCTAACAGGTTGCCATTGGTACTGGCTGCTTTTTCAATGGCGCTATGCCAGACGGTGAAATCCAACTTGGTGTGGCCGCGGATGTATAATGTTCTGCAAAAAAGTTTGAGAAAAGACACCAAAAATTGTAAAGAGTGAGTGAGAGAGAGAGGGAGGGAGGGAGAGAGGGAGGGAGGGGGAGAGAGGGGGGAAGGGGGAGAGAGAGAGGTGAAAATACTCCAGGGCGAGGATCAAACACTCAAACACTGCAACAGCAAAGTGTGACACTAGACCAGGGGTGAAATCCAGCAGGTTCAGACAGGTTCTGGAGAACCGGTAGCGGAAATTTTGAGCAGTTCGGAGAACTGGCAAATACCACCTCTGGCTGGCCCCCGAGTAGGATAGGAATGGGGATTTTGCAATATCCTTCCCCCAGGAGTGGGAGGGAATGGGGATTTTGCAGTATCCTTCCCCTGGAGTGGGGTGGGAATGGGGCTTTTGCAATATCCTTCCCCTGGAGTGGGGTGGGAATGGGGATTTTGCAATATCCTTTCCCCAGGAGTGGGGAGGGAATGGGGCTTTTGCAATATCCTTCCCCCAGGAGTGGAGAGGGAATGAGGATTTTGCAGTATCCTTCTCACGTATCGTCATGGCCCACGATCAAAATTTGGATGCTTGGCAACTGCCTCATATTTATGACGGTTGCAGTGTCCGGGGGGTGGGGGTGGCGGCATGCGAGCACAACTTATGACCTTCTGACAAGTAAAGTCGATGGGGAAGCCAAATTCACTTAACAACCGTGTTACTCACATAGCAGCTGCAGTGATTCACTTAACACCCCCCCCCCCCGGCAAGAAAGGTCATAAGATGGAGCAAAGCTCACTTCACAAGTATCTCAGCGAGCAACAGCAAGTTTGGGCTCAGTTTGGGTCATAAGTCGAGGACTCTCTGTAATGGATGGAACCAGGTTCATGAACTTTGTGTATCAGAATTCCACTGCCTGGTTCCCAGCAAAGATTTTACTTCTAACTGTTTAGACCCAATACGCTTTTGGTAAACGCAATCCTGTGATTTTGGTGAAAATCACAAGAGCCTTGGTGGCGCAGCAGACTAATAGCCTGTTATTATCATTCAGCTGCCTGCAATTACTGCAAGTTCGAATCTCGCCAGGCTCAAGGTCGACTCAGCCTTCCATCCTTTCTAAGGTAGGTAAATTGAGGACCCAGTTTGTGGGGGCAATAAGCTGACTTTGTATAAAATATACAAAAGAATGAAGGCTATTGCTTAGCGCATTGTAAGCCGCCCTGAGTCTCCGGAGAAGAGCGGCATATAAATCAATTTTTTTAAAAAAATAAATGTGATAATTTCCAGTGCTCTATTTCTATGACGTTTCTATTTCACAGCGCTTTCAAGAGAACTAAGCAGTCCTCTGGGAATATCCATAGCATCTGTTGTGGCCTGTCAGCCCCTCCAGCAGCCGAATCAGAGGAGGAGGAGGAGGAGGAGGAGGAGGAGGAGGAGGCAGCGTGGGAGTCAGGATCAGCATCACGGCAACCTGAGAGCTCCAAAGGGGGAAGAGGGAATTGAGCTGGCAGAGAGAGAGAGAGGCGGAGCCTGGGCCGTCCGCCAGCCCTCAGATGGAGAGTCAACAGTCCCCAGGTCTGGAGGTGGCTGATGAGGAAGAAGAACAGCTGGGTCCAGTGCCTGATGTACGGATGCACAGAAGGCAGAGGAGAGGAGAGCAGTGGAAACCTATGGGCTGGTCCTTGGGACAGAAGAGCCACCACTGCTAGTGAAGCCCCATCCTGGCTCTGGGGATAAAAGGCAGGGGGCGGAGACGAATAGATTTGGCAGACAACTATTCATCTTCTGGCTGGACAGACTTGTTAGCCTGTGTTGAGAGAGGAACTTTTTGCCGGGGCCTCTGGCGCTCCTAATAAAGGAATCTTTGAGTTAACTTCAGAGGGTTTGTCATGTTTCGGGATATGGGTGAGAACAGCATCAAGGCAAAACTATCTCCATCTGTCTTGAAAGTCTTCTAAAGCTACGTAGCCACCCCCAAAGATCTCTAGCAAATCCCTCCAACTGGTTTCCTCAGCCCTCATCCTTGCCTTGAGCCCCTAGAATGTACAGCTTACCTTCCTTTCTCGACCAGTAGCAGAACATCTGTTTTTTCTCCATTTTGGACGCAGCTGCTGATCGCTGAAACATGAAAGGCAGAGCCGTTTGCAAACTTAAAACAAATCTGCTTTTTTTCCTAAGTGCACGAAATCTGTAGGAAACTTATGCGTAATAACAACAAGACTTGGAAATAATCTATTTTTAATAGCCATTCATCTCAGGGCATGGAATTAAGAGAAGTTAGTAAGTAGGAAAGAGGAAAGAAGCAGCTGTCAGGCGCAAGGAGAGAACAAAAGGAGGAGCTAGTTCAGAGTATTTCAGAGAGGAGAGGAGAAAAGAAGAGGGAAGAGAGGAGAGAAGAGGAGAGGAGGAGAGGGAAGGAAAGGAGAATGGAGGAGATGGGATGGGATGGGATGGGATGGGATGGGATGGGATGGGATGGGATGGGATGGGAAGGGAAGGGAAGGGAAGAGAAGAGAAGAGAAGAGAAGAGAAGAGAAGAGAAGAGAAGAGAAGAAGAGAAGAGAAGAGAAGAGAAGAGAGAGAAGAGAAGAGAAGGAATAATGTTATTGCCACTTTAAATGTACACTAAGTGACATACATTAAAATGACATTTCACTGCATACAGCTCTGAAAAGGTTACCACCTCCAATATACACTGCATAAACATGACAAAAAAGAAAGAAAGAAAGGAGGGAAGGAAGGAAGGAAGGAAGGAAGGAAGGAAGGAAGGAAGGAAGGAGGGAGGGAGGGGAGAGGGAGAAGAAAGGAAGAGAGAGAGAGAAAGAAAGAAAGAAGAAGGAAAGGAAGGAGGGAGGAAGGAAGGAAGGAAGGAAGGAAGGAAGGAAGGAAGGAGAGAGGGAGAAAGAAAGAGTGAGAGGGAGGGAGGGAGAAAGAAAGAAAGAGAGAGAGAAAGAAAGGAAGGAAGGAAGGAAGGAAGAAGGAAAGAAGGAAGGAAGGAAGGAAGGAAGGAAGGAAGGAAGGAAGGAAGGAAGAAAGAAAGAAAGAAAGAAAGAAAGAAAGAAGGAAAGACTTATGCATATACCCACATATATTATATGACCCAGAGAAACAGTCTAGTCCGGATTTATACATGTATATGGCAATCACCAGGAGATGGTGAGTTCTAGTAGTCCCAACTCAGGCATGAAAGCTGGCTGGGTGACTTTGGGCCAATCACCAGGGGACGTTGAGTTTTAGTTCCGCCTTAGCCATGAAAGTGACTTTGGGTGAATTGTCTCATTTCAACCCTGAACTACAGATATTCTCCTTTATTGGCTCCGAGTTCCGATTGGCTGATTGTCATCCCTACCATTCTCATCTCTGTGAGTTGCTTGGTTGAACTTGGAGAGAATCATCCTTAAGCTCTAAGAAGAGATTGGAATCTATTCTCAGGTAACCTGGATGTCCAATGAAGTGTAGGATCTTTCTGATAGGCTATCTTGCTGCCACGTTGAAGGTGGAATTTTGGGAAGACAGGATGGGTTTCTTAACTGCCTGGATCACTCAAGCTTCATTGAACATGATCACCGCTGGCCAGTACCTTCCTTTTCTGGTGCTAATTTTTACACAGCTTTGCAAAGCCAACTTCACAATTCCACTTCTTCGATACATCCCAGGACTTGACAATTATTGCGTCATATATTCCTGAAGTCGTGTGGGAAGGAACCACGGGGTTCAGGAAACTACAAGGAGTTCTCGACTTACAACAGTTCATTTAGTGACTGTTTGACGTTACAACGGTCCTGGTCATGAGTTGAGAACTACCTGTATTTAAGCCAAGAGATCCCTATCTGTTCACAATGGATTTGTGAAGTTTTCAAACTGTGTGTCAGGGTTCCGATGGATGCCCTAATTAAATCATGAGCCTCGAGCCAAGCTTCAAAAGAAATCGAGTTATTTATTAGGAGCTTCATGTTGGCATGTTTCCAAGTGAAGTCAACCCCAACCCCATGTAATTTACGCCTCAATCATGACCCTGTTTCCCCCTCCCCCGAGGGTGTGTCATCAATCACATTCGCCAACGGAGCAATTTCACGAGTTGTAGAGACTACTCCCCTCTGGCCGCTGTGGGTAACCCTGGGAGACAACCTTGAGAGAGATAAGTCTGGAATGTGCATCTATCTTTGACTGCCATGCTGTTTTGTCGGTTTCCCATCCCCCTTGCCTATGGCAACTCGAGAGCAGGCCAGGGATGCTTTGCAAGTTGACAACTGTTATGAAAACAATCTAATATTTTTCTTTTAAGTCTTACTTAACTCCTGGAGCCGCCTTAGATACATTGAATTCTCTTGCGAATTTTCCAGTTCGAGGCAAAAATACAAGCTGGTCTTCTCTAAAGCAAACCAGCCTTTTTTCCAATTATCCAAGTCCTGGCAATCCTTGTAGAACAACTGGCCAATAACATCAGTCTCTCTTTCTTGAAGACCTCTGGCCAATTCAGGTACAAAGTGCTATTTCGAACAGAAACAAAAATTAGTACAAAGGTTTGAGCCAAAGCTCCTTCTTAGAATTCAAAAGTTCAAGAGAAAGCTACAAAATCTTCTTCAAGTACTTTTCAAAACAGAAAAGTCAGAATTTTGCTCAAGAAAGAAAAAAGAATAAATAAATCTTCAGGTGGTGAAGAAAGAAAAATATTTAGGAATCTATTTAACAGTAAGATGTGCAACAATTAAAGAAGATAATTATACAAAATTCATGCAACAAATGAGATCTGGAGAAATGAAAGAACTTGCAATTATCGATGGTAGGAAGAATAGCTAGCATAAAAATGAATATATTCCCAAAATTACTTTTTTTTTTGTTTCAAACAATTCCTATAAAATTAGACAATTTTTTTTTCCAATGAAGTGAACAAATTAATTTTAAAATATACAGTAGTGGCCAAAATTGTTGGGAAAAGTGATTTTTTTTTAAAAAAATTGATTTATATGCCGCCCTTCTCCGGAGACTTAGGGCGGCTTACAGTGCGTTAAGCAATAGCCTTCATACTTTTGTATATTTATACAAAGTCAGCTTATTGCCCTCACAAACTGGCTCCTCAATTTACCTACCTTAGAAAGGATGGAAGGCTGAGTCAACCTTGAGCCTTGGCGAGATTCGATCTTACTTTAATTGCAGACAGCTGGTGTTAAATTACAGTGCTCTGTCTGTTGAGCTATCCAGGCTCCTTTTTGAGGTGTGATGGCTAATAACACCACTTTTCTTTCTTTCTTTTTCTTTCTTTCAATGGGAAGACATTGTAAGGCCATCATTCATGCTAAAGGTTACCCAACTAAGTATTAACTGACATGGGGATCATTTTTGTATATCTCGTTTTTTCTATGGTGATCATTTTTGTCTATCTCGTTTTTTTCTACGCGTTTCCCTTTTCTTCTTTATACTGTAACTGCTATTCTAATCGCAAACCCTTCATAAAAGTTACTGCATTACATTCATGATTAAATTATCTTTCCGTTGATATATAACTTTATGGTAGTACTCCCCCCCCCCCCAAAAAAAAATTGGTGTTATTAGCTGGTTTTAGAAAATACACTTTTCCCAAAAGGTTTCCACAATTTTAGCCACTACTGTATTCAGCAGGAGAAAAGAGCAAAAATAAGATTGAAAATGCTGCAAGAATCTAAAAACAATGAGGGGTTTTGGGTTACCAGATTGGGAACTTTACTATCTGGCTTCGGCACTTACCTGACTGAAAGAATGGGTAAATAAAGATTATTACTATTAGAGAGACATGATATTCAACTGGGATGGCACACTTTTTTGTGGCATGAGAAGAATAAAATACCCAGATACTTCCAAAGACATTATGTAAGAAATGCACTACTTCTAGTGTGGGAAAAAGTTGAAACAAAAAATTATAGGAAAATACCAGTCTGGCTTCTAGGATGGAAGCACTGATACATCCAAATGTTATTAACTTGGAAAGAATTGTATCATATAAAGACATCTTAAATGAAGATGGGAAATTAAAAACGACACAGGAACTGCAAAAACCAAAGAACAGACCTAGCATGGTAGCCATACTTGCAAATACAATCAAGATACGTAAAAGATGCAAAGACACATGGATCCTATAAAGAGCCAACAGTACTTGATCAGATATTTTTAGGGACGGATGAAAAATTAATAAAGAAAATATATAATATCTGTGAACTTGTAAAATGAAAGACGAATAGAATAGAATAGAATAGAATAGAATAGAATAGAATAGAATAGAATAGAATAGAATAGAATAGATAGGAGTAGAGGTAATGGAGTAGAGTAAAGTAGAGTAGGGTAGAGTAGAGTAGAGTAGAGTAGAGTAGAGTAGAGTAGAGTAGAGTAGAGTAGAGTAGAATAGAATAGAATAGAATAGAATAGAATAGAATAGAATAGAATAGAATAGGAGTAGAGGTAATGGAGTAGAGTAGAGTAGAGTAGAGTAGAGTAGAGTAGAGTAGAGTAGAATAGAATAGAATAGAATAGAATAGAATAGAATAGAATAGAATAGAATAGAATAGAATAGAATAGAATAGAATAGGAGTAGAGGTAATGGATAGAATAGAATTTTTTATTGGCCAAGTGTGATTGGACACACAAGGAATTTGTCTTTGGTGCATACACTCTCAGTGTACATAAAAGAAAAGATACGTTCATCAAGAATCATAAGGTACAACGCTTAATGATAGTCATAGGTTACAAATAAGAAGTCAGGAAACAATATCAATATAAATCGTAAGGATACCAGCAACAAGGTTACAGTCATATAGTCATAAGTGGGAGGAGATGGGTGATGGGAGCGATGAGAAGATGAACAGGTGAAAGAAACGATGGTAACTTGAGCAGTGGTAAAATGCAAAAATTTTCCCTACCGATTCTGCAGGCGTGGCTTGGTGGGAGGGGGGGTCATGTGATTGGATGGGTGTGGCCAACTTTTTTAAAAAAAATATTTAGCATTTTTTAACAAGAAAAAGTTTTTAAAAAGTTCCAATGATCAGCTGTGACAATCAGCTGTGCTGCGCAATCGTTGTAACCTCTTTTTTTTTTTTACTTTTTTAAAGCATTTTTTTACTACCGGTTCGAGTGAACCGGTCCAAACCGGTAGCATTTCACCCCTGAGCTTGGTCAAAAAACCTTGGATATACCAAGAAAGAAAAAAAAATCATCTACTCTTTAAGATGGCTTCTACCGGTAAAAACTTGGCTGGAGTTTCTTAACTCAAGAATTTTTTTTTTTAAATAGATTTTATTTATGTTTAACCGCACCGTTTCTTTAAAAGCAACAAGAACCATTGCCATTAACCAAAAAAAAAAATTACTTCTTTGCGATCTAAATTTGCTTCCATTAAAAAAAAAAACCCGCTTTGTCTAAAATCTCTTTGTTAAAACAAAAGTGTTTTCTCTGCATTTCCTTTAAAGGTGTCTGTCTTTAACTTGAACAGATAATTACCAAAATTACCTTAGCAATTGCCCGAGTCCATTTCCGTTGAGAATGCGCTGTGTCGGCTCCGAAGAGAAATGCGCGTTCTGACAGTAAGTAGATTTCAAAAGTAAACATCGCTCTAAAATTGCCAAGGAGACGATGAATCAAATTTATTTAGCATTAGCTTTGCAAAAGGAAAACAATAAGGGGTACAGTTTGTTCTCAGGCCTTACTCCTCTTGCCTCTTGCAAACGAACAACAAAAGTTTTGCCCTCTAAAGTGCTTTATTTGTGTTGCATTTTGTTTGGAAGATAATGGGGAATCAATATGCATTTGATAGTCTAATGAAGAGGAACCTAGGCTTCCTTAGAAAGTAAACAGCACAAACTTAGTCCCGGCAAATCTCTTTAATTCAAACGGCTGTGAATTATTGTCATTCCCAGTCTGAAAGGCTTCCCAAAACAGTCTATCATGGGAGTGTTTACAAACACCCACCTTATCTCCCTTGGAATGCTGCCAGAGAACTAATTGCCACACGCAGGGCAAGGCCAAACTTAGCACAGAGTCAAACAGAGCTTTTACTGACCAGATGAACTAATTGCTTCCTGAAAAAGCTCACGCCCCATTCGCTTCTCTTTTATGTCTTATGGGAGGGGCCAATCTTCTCCAAGCCTTATTCCCAAGTCGACCCTGTTTTCTTAATTGTTCCTGTCTTCTGGCAGCTCTGTGCATGCGCGCACTGGGAACAGGCTTACGCTATTCTCCTGCCTCGCTGATGTCAGACTCCGGAGACTCCGGAGACAGCAAAGAACTACCAGATGGCCTTGGCACCCTCTCTGCCTCCGACTCAGAGCCCTCATCCGAGCCTTCCCCAGACTCCAGGACTGGCCCACATTCCTCCGCAACCTCCTCACTGTCCAAATCTGCTGCCAGCTCTGTTGGCCACTGGCGGGCCACCACAAGGAACAGAAAGGGGATCAAATAGACTAGGGAATGAAAAGCTAAAATAATGGAACTAAACCAATAATTTAGGTGTGGGGGGGAAGAACAATAGTCAACATATTGCCTGATCAAATTGAGACTCTATTTTAAACTAGGGGGGCGGGGAGAGATAAGTCTTTGGAATTACATTTAGCTATGCCTTTAGAACTGAAATGGAAAATACAGTGTCTTCAGATGAGGCACATGAAAATTCAAACACAGGTACATACAAACAGGCTCATCTACTTCAGAGAATTCTTGCCATGTACAGGTGTACATCCGAACTAGACTGTGTTGTTTCTCTGTGTCATATAACATATGTGGGCATATACATAATTTTGCATTTATTTATTTATTTGTTTATTTTGTCATGCTTATGTAGTGTATATTGGAGGTGGTGACCCTTTGAGAGCTGCAGGCAATGAAATTTTATTTTAATGTATGCCGATGAGTGTACATTAAAAGTGACAATAAAGTTATTATTCTATTCTGTCCTGTCCTGTCCTGTCCTGTCCTATCCTGTTCTTCACTGCATTATTCTATTCTATCAGAGATGATGATCCTTGCTTAAAAAAATTGACAGGAATATCCTCACGCCTCTGGAAAAGTTTGTAATTTTTACAAGCTCCACCGATTTAAAAAGAGCAATGAATACCAAGGAATTTTAATTTCGCTACGTTCATTAAGAGTAAAGTTGTCAGGTTTCAATGTCATCTCAAATAAAATAAATTGCATTTCCAAACGAATAGTCTTCGGTAAAATCTTTCATTTTATTAGGCATGACAATCTGTCCCCGATCATGGCGTAGCCAACTCTGACTTCCTGACCCCAAACCTTCCCTTTCAGTTCCCCAATTCTCTGCGTCTCATTGGCCCTCTTCCAAATCACTCTCCCCATATCTATTACTTCAGCTCCCAGGAATGTCCCCCTCCCATCTCATCTCCTAGGGGGTATTAACTTCAAGGAAAATAAGTAGGTGAGAAGTCAAGCATCCTCTTGCCAGCTGCCCCCTCTTCTCCTTCTCATGTCAGCACTAGAGTAAATGCAGGTTGAAGTGCTGACAAAAATTTTATTGGGAAAGAGCAAATTCAAAGTCTTCACACTGCCTATAAAGCATAAGGTTAATTTCTCAGAAGATCATTCATTCATTCATCATTCATTCATTCATTCATTATCCATCCATCCATCCATCCATCCACTCTCTCACTCACTTGTTCCATTTGTATATTGCCGGATCTGCCATGAATTCCTAAACCCACTGATTTAAAAAGACCGATTAATATCAAGTAATTTTAATTTCATTAAGTTTATTAAGAGTAATGTTTTATTGGAAGAGAGAAAATTCAAAATCTTCGTGCTGTCCATAATGTGTGAGTTTAATTTCTCAGACCATTCATTCATTCATTTACTCACTCACTCATTCATTCCATTCATTGATTCATTGATTCAGATCATTCATTCATTCATTCATTCATTCATTCATTCATGCATGGATTCATTCATTCAGACGATTCATTCATTCATTCATTTACTCACTCCATTCATTCATTTACTCACTCCATTCATTGATTCATTCATTGATTCAATCATTCATTCATCCATTGATTCATTCATTGATTCCATTCCATTCAATCAACCGTCAATCAATCAGTGCAATGGTGGGATCCTACCAGTTTAACAACCGGTTCGCTGAGCGTGCGTGCCAGAGATGCACTGCACGCGCATGCACACTTTGAAAAACTTGAACTTCTGTGTTGCTGAGAGCAAGGAAAACAGCTTAGGAGCAGCAATTCACTCTGCTGCCCCGATCAGCTGGGCTTCGGAAGCAGAAATATAGGTAAGTATAACACAGGGGCGGGCGAGCCCACTTCAAAGAAAGAGAGGACCAGTTCACTCACGGCTGTAAGTCGGAGCAAACGGTTCTCCTGAACCAGTCCGAACCGGTAGAATCCCACCACTGAACCAGTGGAACTCAGAAGTTGTGAGTATTCCATCAGTGGAGGCTTTCAAAGAGAGACTTGACAACCATTTCCCTGGAGTGGCATAGGGTCTCCTGCTTGACTAGAAGACCTCCAAGGTTCCTTCCAACTCTATGATTCTATGTTCTATTTGCTTATCTTCAAATTGGCCATGAACTGCCAGCAATTTACAATGAGAAATCCAGAATTAAAACTTCCACAGTAAGAATGTAACAACCGTTATAAAAGATTGCTTTGTAAAATAATAATAATAATAATAATAATAATAATAATAATAATAATAATAATAATGATGATGATGATGATGATGATGATGATGATGATGATGATGCACGGATTGAAGATAAGCAGCAAGAAAAAATCACAAAGAACCGGGACTTGCAAATTGAAGTTGAGCGACTGTGGAAAAAGAAATTGTGTGCTGTCCCGATTGTAATTGGAGCCCTTGGAGCAATACCCAAAGGGCTACCCCGCTATTTAGAAATTCTAAATTTGCCGGACTTGAACATTTTGACTCTACAAAAAACCACCTTACTCGGAACAGCTTACATCCTCCGACGATACCTTAACAGTTCCTAGGTCCTTGGTTAGGACTCGAGCTGCTGAGCTATTAACCAGCCTCAAAGGCTGTGAATCTCACTAAAGATTAACCAATAATAATAATAATAATAATAATATATAATAACATTCAAATAATATTATAATAACAAATAACATAATAATAATAATATATAAAAATCCACCGACAATCCAAACTGCTGACTTTGCAACAACAAAGTCGAAACTGTTTCACATTTAATATGTGAATGCAGCAAAATTGCACAAACTGATTACAAAGCTAGACACGACCGAGTTGCTAAATTAATCTATTGGTCATTATGTAAAAAATACAACTTTCCTGTATCTAAAAAGTTATGGGAACATAAAGTGGAAAAAAATGAGAAGGTGAAGATCTTGTGGGACTTTCGAATACAGACAGATCGTCACTTGGAACACAACACGCCAGATATCACAGTTGTCGAAAATCGAAATGTACAATTTATTGACATTGCGGTACCAGGAGATGCCAAAGTCAAAGAAAAAGAACTGGAAAAAATCATGAAATATCGCGACCTGGCCATTGAAACTACATGGCTATGGATGAAACATGTCACAGTGATACCCATTGTCATCAGGGCATTTGGTACCATATCCAAGAATTTTATAAGATACATCAACAAATTGCAGCTTCCTGCAATAACACCTGCAGAACTGCAAAAAACTGTGCTACTTGGAACATCGTACATCTTAAGAAGGTACTTGGTTGATCCCTAGGACGTTGGCAGCAACCCGTATCAACCATTAGCACCAGTCAATGGTATTTGTGATGCATTTTTGAATGTTCAGTTGACTGAGTTTCATATTTAATGAATAAAGATAATAATAATATCAACACCGACAGAGCAAATCATTAACCAAAACCAACAATGACCCCGTACTTACCCCATGGGTAAGGTGTCTTCTGACTTATGAATGACAAGACAGATGACTTCACCAATGTCCAAAGTCCCGCTTGGGGTAGCCATCTTCTCATTCTCATAGTAACTCAAAAAGCCGCTTTCCAACACGCACCATTTCTTACCGCACTCTATATTTAAAGATGGATTTCTTTATTAACTGGAGAGTTAACCATTATCACAGAACAATTAGCAAATAATCCATGATGGAAACAGGGATAGCCAAAGGAAGTTTTTAAATGAGTCTTGGAAAACTTCAACCTTCCATCTGCCTTTACCAAAGGATTCTGTGATTGAGTGATGCACATCAAATTTGCTAGCTGTTATTTTCGGAACAACTCACCATGGCTGGCTCATCCCAGCCAACTCACCCTACAGGCTGGGAATTCAAATAAGACAGGTAAGCATATCGAGACACCTAACACAGAATGCATAAAAGGGGAGATCAGGTGAGCATAGATTACCGTATTTTTCAGAGTATAAGACGCACTTTTTTCCCTCCTAAAAGAGGCTGAAAATTTGGCTGCGTCTTATACTCCGAATGTAGCTTTTTTGAAGCTTTTTTTCATCCCTAACAAGGCGCTAGAGAGTGAAGCAATCTGCTCCCTCCGATTCTCAGCTGTGCTTTAGAAGCTTTTTTTCAGTGAAGCAATCTCCGTGCTTTGCCAGCTCCCTCTCACTCTCAGCTGTGCTTTAGAAGCTTTTTTTCAGTGAAGTGATCTCCGTGCTTTGCCTGCTCCCTCCGACTCTCAGCTGTGCTTTGGAAGCTTTTTTTCAGTGAAGCGATCTTCCGTGCTTTGCCTGCTCCCTCCGACTCTCAGCTGTGCTTTCAAGCTTTTTTTCAGTGAAGCGATCTTCTGTGCTTTGCCAGCTCCCTCCGACTCTCAGCTGTGAAGTTTTTTTTCAGCCCTAACGAGGCGCTAGCGAGTGAAGCGATGATCTCTGTGGTTTGCCTGCTTTTCTCATTGCTTCTCTCTCCAAAGATCAGTTGTGCTTTAGAAGCTGTTGTTTATCCCCAAGGAGGGGATAATGTGCTGAAGCTGACCAGACTAAGGACGCTAGGACGCTAGCCAGATGTATACCTGGTAGGCAGGGTTTTTGTCCCCCCCCTATTTTCTTCCCCCAAAACTAAGCTGCATCTTATACTCCGGTGTATCTTATACTCCAAAAAATACAGGTAAGTAAAATCTTGCCTGGATCTAAAATCAATATTTGCACATTTCACATCTGCACCAAATAAAGTTCTTTGAACTTCCATCCCTATCGGAAATAATCAGATTTATAAATTAAGTCCATTACTCCGCTTCCTATCTAGGCTCATTTAAGTAGCCAGTCCAATTTCAACCAAAGCTTTCAACTTAAACAAGGGGATGTTTTGGTGGTTAATGTGAATAAGCCTCGGAAGGCTTATTCCCTTCCTTTTGATATTTTTAAATAGCCTCGTTGAAATGACGCAGGTTTGTCAAAGAAAAACAGACGCTTTTAAAAGCTTCGTATTGTCATCGCCAATTGCAAATGTACAGAAACCATCAAGAAGAAGAAAAAAAAACCACGAGAGATCGGGAGACAAAAAGAAAAAAAAAAGAGAAAGAAAACGTAAGCAGAAAAATAAGGCAGCCTCTGAACTGAACCAGGAATGAAAGCTGCGGGGAAACAAAACTGTAGCTTGACAGAAGTTGGTTGCAAAATAAAGGGTTGAGTGTAGAGCGCCCAAAAGCTAACAGGGGAAGCTCTTCATCACAACCTACCATGAGGGATGGAAAGAGAAGCCAAGACTAGGGTCAATCTATTTTACGCTGGTGGAAGTCAGGGTAGAAAGCCTGCTCAGTGGGGCAAAGCTAAGGAAGACAAGCTATAGCGTGGGGAGGGGGGGGAAGGGAGGAAAGAGAGGAAGGAAGAAAAAAGAGCTTCAAAAAATCATCCCCCAAATAGTATTCTGATCAGATCTGTAATAAATATAACCAAGCAAGATTTCCTAAGGTGTTAAAACTGATCAATGTTACTCTTATGTTCTTAAAATACATAAAGGGAAGAAGAATGTAGATCTTCCTTCCTTCCTTCCTTCCTTCCTTTTTGCTCTTCCTTTCTCCCTCCTACCCTTCCTTCCTTCCTTCCTCTTCCTTTTTCCTTCCTACCTTCCTTCCTGCCTTCCTCTTTTCTGTCCATCCATTCTGTCCACCCACCCACCTCTTCCTTTCTTTCTTTCCTTCTTTCCTTCCTTCCTTCCTTCCTTCCTTCCTTCCTTCCTTCCTTCTTTCTTCTTTCTTTCTTCTTTTCTTTTCTTTTTTCTCTTTTCCTTTATTTTTCTATTTTCTTTCTTCAGTATCTATCATCTTTATTTCTTAATCTCTCATCCATCCTTTTCTTTCTTTCTTTCTTTCTTTCTTTCTTTCTTTCTTTCTTTCTTTCTTTCTTTTTTCTTTCTTTTCTTTTCTTTTTTCTCTTTTCCTTTCTTTCTTTTTCTGTTTTCTTTCTTCAGTATCTATCATCTTTATCTCTTAATCCCTCATCCATCCTACATATACATACAGTGTAAATCTAGTTTTTATCTCTATCATCTATCTATCTATCTATCTATCTATCTATCTATCTATCTATCTGTCTGTCTATCTATCTATTATCTATTTTCTTATCATCCATCTGTCTGATTTATCTCACCACAATCCACATGATAATGGCCCCTGATTTGTTTTGCGGATTTTATCATTGGAACATTTTTGTGCAGGCTGCCTGTTGATTTAATAGATGCAGCAGTTTTGTATCTTTTTAAATTTGGTTGTTTAGTTGTTGTTGGGTGACCCAAAGAATACAAACAAATAGGCAAACAAATCAATAAAATACTTGGTAGGGACATGTTTTCTACTGCTGAACAACTTTCTCCTTCTTCATCCTTGGCTCAAGCTATCTATCTATCTATCTATCTATCTATCTATCTATCTATCTATCTATTTATTTATTTATTTATTTATTTATTTATTTATTTATTTATTTATTTTTCATATTTCTATGCCGCCCACTCTCCAAGGACTCTGGGCGACTTACACCAAAGACAGTATACTAAATAGCATATTGCCCCCAACAATCTGGGTCCTCATTTTACCCACCTCGGAAGGATGGAAGGCTGAGTCAACCTTGAGCCAGTGAGATTTGATCCGCTGATCTGCTGAACTAGCAGTCAGCTGAAGTAGCTGCAGTACTGCACTCTAACCACTGCGCCACCTCGGCTATGGTTTCTGAGAGCTAGTTATCTGACCAATGTAGTACCAAGATACCCACGCCATAGATAAAAAAGTCCAACGTACCTTCCTTAATTTTTCTCTCACTAAACAGCTTGGAAGGGTTGAAGGAAACCATGTATAAATTATCGTAAAGGAAGGACGGTAAGGGTGAATCGGGAGAGGAAGTGGCGTTGGTGCGGCCATCACAGTGGGAAAAATCTATAAAATAATGAAGAGCTATTAGTTATGGAAGTTAAATTTCAAATCATTGCTTAAGACTACTGGATTTTTCAGAGTATAAGACGCACCTTTCCCCCCCCTAAAAGGGGGTGAAAATTTAGGTGGGTCTTATACACCGAATGTAGCCCTGCTCACACACTGGCCCCCACCCTTTGGCCTCTGCCTCCCAGCAATTTACCTCCTTGCAGCAAGCAGGAAGAAGAAAGAGCCCATTGCAGCTTCAGCACAGCCTAATTAGCACAAGTTGATTGTCGGTTGGATCGGCCTCCCGACTCTCAGCTGTTTCAGGCTGCAGGGATTGCCATGGCCTATTGCTGCGCGGGCCTCTGCTGCTTGCTGCAAGGAGATAAATTGCTGGGAGCAGATTTTTTTTTTCCTTGTGCTAATCCATCCAGCTGCCCAGAACTCCACCCCGCAAGGGATTATGGTGTCGTTAAAAAAAGGATGATGATATATTTTATTTTTATTTTATTTCGAATTTATATACCGCACCTTCTCCCGAGTGACTCAGGGCGGTGTACAGCCAGCTAAAAACATACAATGCAAACATTAAAAACAATTAAAAGGATATATATTAATTTGGCCCCAATTTAAAATGACAAACCAGTTAAAAATGTTTTTAAAAAATGTTATGTTAAGCCCACCAGAGTGGGCAGGCAAGAAGGATCTTCTCTCTTAGGGAAGTCCATCTAGCAGAAGGTCCTTCTCCGTGGGGGCTCCCTCCCCGTGGACCATTATCCTGTGGAGATAAGATTGGCCTCTCCCTTGACACTCTTTCAAAAGATCTGAAGACCCGATTCTGCCAATGGACCGGGTGATCCCAGGTCAATATGCAGTCCATCAAGAGATTGATCTGGTTGCTGTCACTAGGAGCATGTGGGTTTATCGAGGTTTGTTTTTGTAAGCCACCCAGATTCACTGTGATATGCGTTGTCCTAAATTTTTTCTTAATATATAAATAATATATGCATGCTTGCTTCCCTATTGGTGGGCACCTGCTAACCTGAAATCGGCGTCCACTGAATTATACACAAACACACAACCCCTATTCACAGCCCCGCACAGCACCTGCTAACCTGAAATCGATGTTCATTGAATTGTACACAGACCAGTGGTGAAATGTAAAATTTGTTACTACCGGTTCTGTGGGCGTGGCAAAAGGTGTGGCCAACTTTTGTATTTATTATTTTTAAAACCATTTTTTTCTACCACCTCTTCGGTTGAAGAGGTTGTAAAAAAATGCTTTTAAAGCCTCTGACGATCCCAGCTGACTTGCCTGATCAGCAGAGGCTTTCTCTTTCTCTTTAAAGCCTCTGACGATCCCAGCTGACTTGCCTGATCGGCAGAAGCTTTTTTTTTTTCCTTTTAAAATCATTTTTTCTACAACCTCTTCGGTGAAGAAAAAAAATGTAAAAAAATGCTTTTAAAAGCCTCTGATGATCCCGGCTGAGCCGCGTGATCATCAGAGGCTTTTTTTTTTTTTTAACTTTTAAAAGCATTTTTTCGGCCGAAGAGGTTGTAGAAAAAATGCTTTTAAAAATAATTTTAAAAAGCCTCGGATGATTGCGTGGCTCAGCAGGCAATTGGGGGGGGGGCAGGGATTTTTGCTACCGGTTCTCCGAACCACCTGCCTCCATCACTAGCGGATCGGGCGATCTGGTCCGAACCGGGAGCATTTCACCCGTGACACAGACACACAACCTCTATTCACAGCCCCACACAACACCTGCTAACCTGAAATCGGTATCCACTGAATTATACACCGACACACACACAGAGCTCCTATAAGGCACACACTACCTGAAAACCATACCTGAAAACTTATTGTGATGGAGGAATTCCATTTGCAATCTCTGCCCGGATTTTTTGGCTAACAAATACGGGGTGCTGAACACGGGATCGCCCGTGGCGCACATCACGTCAGCTCCACTGAATAACAACATCATGGTCTCCAAGACATCCGGCTTAATAACTGCAGCACACAGCGCCTGATCACAAAGGTGAAAAGTATGAGCAGGATGCCAGAAGAAGAGATTGACGTCTCTTAATTGAATAGGGGTCGCTTCACAAAGACAAGAGTGAGCCTACAGAAAAGAGTTATAGTCATCATGGTGCTCTCAAGTGCCTAACTCAAGGGTGTCAAACACAAGGCCCACGGGCCAGATCCCAGCCCGCAATGTGGCCGTGCTCAGTTGGCCATGGTGAGTTGGCCATGGCAATTGGCCGCTGTGAGTTGGCTGTGGCAAGTTGTCCCATTCCACACCAGAAGTAGTTAGATGGTTACTTCCCTTAGCAATTGAATTATTACATCTATCAGTGGTGGGATTCAGCCGGTTTGAGCTGGTTCGGACGAATCGGTAGTTAAATTGCTGGCTGGCCCCTCCCTTCCCCGCCCCTTCCAGGAGTCCCCACACACCCCATTTGGCTCCCAGGAAAAATCTCTTTTGAAAGAAAACGGCTACCAAATGTCAGATACACAGAGAGTTTGGGTTTAAGTCAGTGATGGGATTCAGCCGGTTCAAGGCAGTTCAGGTAAACCGGTAGTTAAATTGCTGGCTGGCCTTTCTCCTCCTTCCCCAGACTCCCCATGCGCTCCATTTTGGCTCCCAGGTAGTAGGCAGGGAGGCCTACTAGGCCCAAAATGGGGCATGAGGGGGTGTGGTGCCCCCCGGCCCATTTTCACTCCCACGAGGCTTCAGGGAGCCCTCTTAGGCCCAAAACAGGGTGCAGGGGGAGCAGCATGCCCCCCATGGTCCGTTTCTGCTCCCAGGAGGCTTCAGGGAGGCCTACTAGGACCAAAAAGGGATGTGGGGAGAGGCATGTCCTCCCCACAGCCTGTTTTCGCTCCCAGGGGGGTGCAGGAGGCCGAGTGCTGTCTGTCACACCTCCTAGCCAGGCCCACCATGGCCACGCCCACCCAGCTGGTCATTAGGGCAGAGAACCAGTTGTTAAATTATTTGAATCCCACCACTGACATCCATCCTATTCTATGGCTACATATTACGGTAATTTTGTGATGGTTTTATCTTAATTTAATAATCTTCTATGTTGCATTGTCATATAACCCTACACGCTGTCAGGTTTTCAGGCCATCTTCAAATAAATTGCGTCTCAAACAAAGTCTTTTTTGAAACAAACTTCCATTTTATTTAGCACGGCAACTTTTACACTGATTCCATGCAGCCAGCACTGATGTGCTGACCCAAAATCCCTCCTCTTCCTTCCCCCACTCCTCTGCATTCATTGGCCATCTTCCCAATCATTCACCCCTAATCTACTGCTCCAATTCAAAGAATTTCCCCCCTCCCATCCATCTCCTAGGGGACATTATCTCCAGCTAAAACAAGTAGGTGAAAAGCAACCGTCCCGTTGCAGACACTTGCGTTCTCCTTCTTATGTCAGCACTAGGATAAATGCATCTTGACATGCTGACACATGCACAGAAACTACATCCCTCAAGCTCATCGCCATTATGGGTTGTGATTATTTATTTCATTCCATTTCTATCCATCACATTAATGAACTTATTCCTTTTGCATTAAGAAAGCCGCGTCCCATTTAATCCCAACGCACAGCACAAGACTCTCCCCTAGTTTTATTTCGCAAACATTTTAGGGGTTTTTTTTTTCAAGAAAAAAGCAAAAAAGGACCCCAAATTCTTCCCATCCTCATCATTTCCACCTGCAATTACCTTGTTTAACTCATCCTTGGTTTTAGACAGCAGCGTAAGTTTTCTGAATTTCCCTTCTTTGTATTTTTGGGTAATAAAAGTTAGCCTCTTATCAGCTGGGGCATCCACTTTTAATTTTTCATCTGGCTGGAGGTTACCTTCCCAAAAGCTGTTGGACCTTTCATTGCCTATCACAATAAAAAGCTACAAAAAAAAAGAAAAGAAAAGAAAAGAAAAGAAAAGAAAAGAAAAGAAAAGAAAAGAAAAGAAAAGAAAAAGAAAGGAAAATCCGTTAATCAGAGGGGGGGAAAATGAGATTAAAGGAGTTTGGAAAGGAACTTATTTTTTTAAATATATATTTTAATATATATTTTAATATAATATATTAGAGCCTTGGTGGCGCAGCAGACTAAAGTGCTGTTAAGTAGCACCAGCTGCCTGCAATTACTGCAAGTTCAATTCTCACCAGGCTCAAGGTTGACTCAGCCTTCCATCCTTCCGAGGTAGGTAAAATGAGGACCCGGATTGTGGGGGCAATAAGCTGACTTTGTATAAAAAAGAGCACTGCTTGGGGGCCCCCGAAAGCCCTACTAAGCAGGTATATACAAAAATATGAAAGCTATTGCTTAATGCATTGTAAGCCGCCCTGAGTCTCCGGTTCGATATAAATCGAACCAATAAATATATATTATATATAAATATAATATATATTTTTAATATATATTTTTAATATATATTTATTTTATTCAGAAAATTAAATTAAAGCAAAACGCAGGTAGTCCTCGATTTACGACCACAACGGAGCCAAAAGTTTCTGTTGCAAAGTGAGATCGTTAAATGAATTTTGCCCCATATTAGTGAATCACCGCAGTTGCTAGATTAGTAATATGGCTGTTAAGTGAATTGGGCTTCCCCGTTGTCAGAAGGTCGCAGAAGGGGACTACATGACCCCGAGACCCCTGCAACCATCATAAATGTGAGTCAGTGATATGCCATCATGCTCTGAGCCTTAAATGCATCCATTCAGGATTTAAGATTGGATCCAACCTCATCCTTTTAATCACTTTGCACTTTTAGTTTTCTTATTAACAGATTAATAGATTAACAGAGTCGGAAGGGACCTTGTAGGTCATCTAGTCCAACCCCCCGCCCAAGCAGGAGACCTTACACCATTTCTGACTAATGGCAGTCCAGTCCCTTCTTGAAAGCCTCCAGTGATGAAGCTCCCACAACTTCTGAAGGCAACTTCTGTTCCATTGGTTGATTGTTCTCACTGTCAGAAAAATTATCCTTATTTTCAGGTTGAATCTCTCCTTGTTCTGTTTCCATCCATTATTCCTTCTCTGGCCTTCAGGTGCTTTGTAAAATAGTTTCACCCCTTCCTCTCTGTGGCAGCCCCTCAAATATTGGAAGACTGCTATCGTGTCTCCCCTGGTCCTTCTCTTCACTAAACTAGCCAGGCCCAGTTCCTGCAACCGTTCATCGTATGCTTTAGCCTCCAGTCCCCTAATCATCCTGGTTACTCTTTTCTGCATTTTTTTCTAGAGTCTCAACATCTTTTTTTTATAGTGTGGTGACCAAAACTGGACGTAGTACTCTAGGTATTGCTCATTTAAGACCGAAAAATCTTCGGAATCACAAATCCACCAGTTGCTGGGTGGGAATTCTCTTCAATCCATTAAAAACGAAACGAAATCCCATCGTTCCAGCTTTGTAAGATTTTAATTTCTTGCAATACGCAGCAAAGAGCTGGTTTCGGAGTTGTTTCTGCCCAGCTTCGTAAACATGAAGGCTTTGTGAAGTTGGCTTAAAGAAAAGCTTTGAAGTTAATTAGAAAGAGCTTCTTGTGTATGTTGGGGAGAAAAAAAATCTGCCTTGTTTACATATCAATTGTCAAGGAAGACTTTTAAAGTCGATTACTAGAGCACAAGATGGCTACTTGAAAGGAAACGTTTGATAGCTTGAACTTTTTACATTCTTTACTGCAACCAAAAGTTACTTTTGAAGATGATGAACAAATACCTCTGGAGAAAATAGAGTTGGGTGCTAAGGTGGATTTCAAACTTACAACTTAAAAGAACAAGACGGAAATACCGGGTTCACACATACAATTGGACGATGGTTTAAAAATGGGGATAAAAAGATGTACAAAAAATAATGAACATCACAACAACTTGGACTACTCTTTTAAATAGAAATGTAAGCGATTTACAGGAGTTACTTTGTAGAAATTACAAACATGATAAGAACTTCAAGAGATGATGCAAGGATGTTAGAAGAAAACAGGACTTAAGAATGGTTGGCAGGAAGAAGAATATATATACCGTGTTTCCCTGAAAATAAGACCTGTCTTATATTTTTCTGAACCCTGAAATAAGTGCTTGGCCTTATTTTCAGGGAGGTCTTATTATTTTGGGGCGAGTGGAGCAAGACAGAGCTTCTCTTGCCATCTTACCTGGTTTCCAGCTCTGCGTTTAAATATTTTTGGGGCAGCCTTATTTTAACGCATGCGCTCAAAAGCATGTTTTCTGAGGTTTTCGCGGGTGTTTGTATGTAGGTCTTTGGTTATTCAGGTTTTCTCCCGTGTAAAATTGGGAGGAGTTAAAAAATAAGAAACAGCTGCGATCACACACATTGCTCCTAGAAGCACGAAGCCGAAAACACCAGCCTGAAGATGACGAATGAGACTTCGTCAAAACGTTGCCAAGACACCTCCAATTTTATATAAATATAATATAATATAATAATATAATATAATATAATAATATAATATAATATAATATAATATAATATAATATAATATAATATAATATAATATAATAATACAATACAATACAATACAATATAATATAATATATATAATATTATCAGGGGATGTCTTATTTTCAGGGAAACAGGGTATATATATATATATCTGATTTGATCATGGTTAAATAACAAGTTTTTATTTCTGCTGAGGCTTCCTGGTTATTTGGATGGGATGTGTTTTTTTTTCCCCCTTTAGAAAATGTCTGATCTGTGGACTCTGTATGACTGTAACTTTGTTGCTTGGATCCTTACGATTTATATTGATATTGTTTCCTGATTGCTTATTTGTAACCTATGACTATCATTAAGTGTTATATCTTATGATTCTTGATGAACGTATCTTTTCTTTTATGTACACCAAGAGTGTATGTACCAAGACAAATTCCTTGTGTGTCCAATCACACTTGGCCAATAAAATTCTATTCTATTCTACTTCACGTGATCTTGATTCCATCCCTCTGTTGATGCAGCCTAGGGATTGTGTTGGCTTTTTTGGCAGCTGAAGCACACGGCTGGCTCATCTTTAAGTGATCATCGGCTAGGACTATTTGTTGTTGTAAAAATATGCAATCAAATGTCATGAATTTCCAAATCAAATGGAAATCAAACTCCTGCTCTTCTTTGTCCAACCTTACCTCGATGAGTTCATTGGTCCAAACGCTGGCGTCCATTTTGAGACTTCGCACTTTTGAATCTCTGGGGCCTAACGATCTGTGCTGCCCTGGGACAAACAGAAAACAAAAAATAAAACATACTTGAAGGTCAGTAACAGAGGAGAGGAATTTGAAGGCGAATAAACCCAAACTGCCATGGAATAAGCTTGAACAGAAACGGTTGAAGAATTTTCTATCATGGAGAAGAAGCGTTAATGAAAGTGCCTACGCATCAGTGATGGGTTTCAAAATTTTTTACTACCAGTACTGTGGGTGTGGCTTGGTGGGCGTAGCATGGCTTGGTGGGAGTGGCAGGGGAAGGATACTGTAAAATCTCCATTCCCACCTCACTCCAGGGGAAGGTTACTGCAAAATCCCCATTTCCTCCTGATCAGCTGGGACTCAGGAGGCAGAGAATAGATGGGGGCGGGCCCAGTCAGAATTTTTACTACCGGTTCTCCGAACTACTCAAAATTTCCGTTACCGGTTCTCCAGAACTGGTCAGAACCTGCTGAAACCCACCTCTGCTACACATTCAAGTGAGCGTGTGTGAGGATGTGTGTCAGACAACACAATCGGAGCAAGTGTTGCTGTGTTATGTAAGTCTGTCTCAAACCATGTGGATGTGAATCGAGAAGGCCTCTCCTACAAAGCTTAATCATACTTGGAAAAATGGGTTCTCAGACAGCCAAGCTTAAGCCATGTAAAAACTCTGCAGCAGAAGTGGCTCACTTACAGCCTTTGGCTTAATTTCATGCCGTCCTGGTAAATAATCAATTTGCCAGGAGGAATAATGAGGTGTTCCTTCTTGGAGAAAGAAACTAAAGACATGAAGAAAAAGCAGGAAGCAGAGGGAGAATGGTGAAAGAAAAGAAGGAAGGAAGGAAGGAAGGAAGGAAGGAAGGAAGGAAGGAAGGAAGGAAGGAAGGAAGGAAGGAAAGAAGGAAGAAAGGAAAGGAAAGGAAAGGAAAGGAAAGGAAAGGAAAGGAAAGAAAAGAAAAGAAAAGAAAAGAAAAGAAAAGAAAAGAAAAGAAAAGAAAAGAAACTTAGTTGGGTCATGAAACGTCTACAAGAAAACTAACAAGAGCCTTGATAGTACAGTGGTCTAAGCACCCTGTTATTAACACAGCTGCCTCCAATTACTGCTGGTTCAAATCTCTCCAAGTCTCAAGGTTGACTCAGCCTTCCATCCTTTCTAAGGTAGGTGAAATGAGGACCCAGTTTGTGGGGGCAATAAGCTGACTTTGTATAAATATACAAAAGTATGAAGGCTATTGCTTAATGCATTGTAAGCCGCCCTGAGTCTCCGGAGAAGGGCGGCATATAAATCAAATTTAAAAAAAAAAAAAACAAAAAACAAAAAGCAAGCTCAGAGAGCACCAAGGACCCCGCAGTTCAAGCCTGAGCTACCAATATTCTCTTCTATCTGCATAACTGCGGTGTTACTACCATACTTTTCAGTGACGCAAATGGTAACATGCAGCTTAGTTCCTCTCGGTTCCTCTCGGTTCGGCCCGGTTCGCGAAAGCCGGTAGCGGTGACGATATGACGTCACCGAACCGGTTCTCTGTCTTCGGGAGCTGGGCCCTCCCGCCCGCCCCTGCATTATTCTGACCTTATATCTCTTCTTTTTTTGCCCAGCTGAGAGGTGCGGCAGAGCGGATTGCCGCACCTCAGCTGGGCAGATTTGCAACGCGCTTGCGTGAAGTGCAAGTTTGGTGTCGCGGCGATCGCGTACAAAGCGCGCGACCGAAGAGGCGATCGCGCACGAAGCGCACATACAAAGAGAACCGGTAGTAAAGCCAATTAGAACCCACCCCTGGTGCAGCTTGAAATCACAAATGTGATTTTGAAACCCATAGTAAAAGAATATAAATCGGCTTTAGGTATGCCATTAATTTTTAAAGTTGCCACACTGGCTCAGGGGGATCCCGAGAGTTCTTTCATTACCTGCGCACTTCTTGCAAATGACGACGCAGAGATTGATGGACGCCCAGTCGGGATCAGGAGTTTTACAATCGGCACAAATTCGGTTTGATTCGTTGAACCAGATCTTCTCAGCTACTTCGTAGTCGGAGAGAGTTTCTGCGATGGATTGCTGGAGCGCTTCAATCCAATTCTGCTTTTCTTTTTCTGATTCGGCAGTAAAGCTGAAATGCAGTAATTTAGAGTCAGTTTGGTCTACGGCAGAGTTTTCCAAACTTGGCAACTTTTAAGACTTGTGGACTTCAACTCCCGGAATTCCTCAGGCAGTATGTGGATTTCGACTCTTGGAATTCCTCAGCCGGCATGTGGATTTCGACTCTCGGAATTCCTCAGCCGGCATGTGGAGTTCGACTCTCGGAATTCCTCAGCCGGCATGTGGAGTTCGACTCTCGGAATTCCTCAGCCGGCATGTGGAGTTCGACTCTTGAAATTCCTCAGCCGGCATGTGGATTTCGACTCTCAGAATTCCTCAGCCGGCATGTGGAGTTCGACTCTTGAAATTCCTCAGCCGGCATGTGGATTTCGACACTCAGAATTCCTCAGCCGGCATGTGGATTTTGACTCTCGGAATTCCTCAGCCGGCATGTGGATTTCGACTCTCGGAAATCCTCAGACAGCATGTGGATTTCAACTCTTGGAATTCCTCAGCCAGTATGTTGAATTCCTCAACATGGCCGCTGAGGAATTCTGGGAGTTGAAGTCCACAAGTCTTAAAGTTGTCAAGTTGGCACAAATTACTTTTAGCGATCTATGTATATCACATTATTTCCCTTTGGAAGAAAGAAACATTATGCAATAAAAATGAAAGGTGTTTTTTAAAAAATGACGTAAGAAAAAGAAAAGGAAAAAGAAAGGACTATTGTTCAAACCAATTCGCAACAGAAATTATTCACTCTTGTTATTCTTTGTAATACTGAAAGAGCCATTACAAGTAGTCCTCGACTTACAATCACAATTAAGCCTGAAATATATTGCTAAACAAGACATTTGTTAAGGAGTTTTAGCCCATTTTATGACTTGTCAGAAGGCCGCAAATGGGAATCATGTGGGATACTGCAAACCGTCACAAATTCATTAGTGGCCAAAATTGTAGAAACCTTTTGGGAAAAGTGTATTTTCTAAAACTAGCTACTAACACCACTTTTTTTTTTTTTGAGTAGTACCATAAAATTATATATCCATGGAAAGACAATTTAATCAAGAATGTCATGCGATAACTTTTATGAAGGATTTGCTATTAGAATAGCAGTTACAGTATAAAGAAGAAAAGTGAAACACGTAGAAAAAATGAGATATACAAAAATTATCACCGTAGAAAAAACGAGATATACAAAAATGATCCCCATGTCAGTTAATCCTTAGTTGGATAACCTTTAGCATGAATTATGGCCTTACAACGTCTTCCCATGGAGTGAACCAAGTCTTTTAGTTCTGCAGCTGTTATAATGTGAAACCAAGATTGAATGATGGCTTCTATTAACTGGGTTTTATTGCCGGATCGCTTCTGACTAACAAGTTTCTTTAGTCGGCTCCATAGATTTTCAATTGGGTTAAGGTCTGGGCTATTCCCAGGCCATTCCAGCAGTGGAAGAGAATTATCTTGAAACTCCCCCCAAAAAAGTGGTGTTATTAGCCATCAAACCTCCAAAATACACTTTTCCCAAAAGGTTTCCACACTTTTGGCCATTACTGTACTGTCATTTGCCAATTTTGATCACATGACCACGAGGATATTGCAACGTATGTAAGTGTGAAATATAGTCATAAATCAAGTTTTCAGTGCCGTTGTAAGTTTGGAAGGTCACTAAATCAACTGTTGTAAATTAAGGGATACCTCTATTTCGGGTAAGAGTAAATTTTATTTCAGCTGTTGTCCAAAATTCTGCCTCACTTTTTTAAAAAAGCCAATGTTTCCTGGCCTTACCTGAAGCTCCGATAAGGTGTAATTATTTCAAAACATTGTTTTGAGCTCCGATCGATTTGCCTCACGTTAGCTACATTCATCGGTATGATTGTAATGCCATAGCCAGATTTAAAATCCTGAAGTAGAGAAGAAAAAGCACATCAGGATCATGTCTTTTTAGAAAAAAATAAAATAAAAAATATCGGACAAAATGTATTTTGAAAACAGAATTGCACGATAAAGGGTCTCTGCAGAATAAAGAGCTGTGTGAAACTTCCTTCATTGCTTGTGTTAAAGACTGCTTAGCCAAATCGTCCTAGGAATTATAATTTTAATCATCTACCCAGCTGATTTCACACAATGTATTTCCCTAGATTTTTCTATGAGTTTGATGTCAGAGCCGTGGTGAAATCCAAATTTTTTTACTACCGGTTCTGTGGGCGTGGTGTGACTTGGTGGGCATGGCTTGGTGGGCGTGGCAGGGGAAGGATCCTGCAAAATCTCCATTCTCACCCCACTCTGGGACCAGCCAGAGGTGGTATTTGCCGGTTCTCCGAACTGCTCAAAATTTCCGCTACCGGTTCTCCGAACTGCTCAAAATTTCCGCTACCGGTTCTTCAGAACCTGTCAGAACCTGCTGGATTTCACTCCTGCATCAGAGTTTGTGTGTGTGTCTGTGTCTATGTGGTTTCAAAAATATGTGAGAAGCAAGAGCCATGGTGGTGCAGTGGTCAGAAGACAGTATTGCAGGTTAATTCTGCCCACTGTCAGGAGTTCGATCCTGACCGGCTCAAGGTTGACTCGGACTTCCATCCTTCCGAGGTTGGTGAAATGAGGAGCCAGATTGTTGGGGGCAAAAAGCTGACTCTGTAAGACGCTTAGAAAGGGCTGTAAAGCACTTTGGAGTGGTATATACGTCTAAGTGTTATTGCTATATCCTAAGAAAATTAGGGTGCGCCTATAGTCAGGAAAGACTTTTGATCTTGGTTTAGCCACCAATTAAATTCACAAGTGAATTGAGTTTAGAACCTCTATCTCTTAACATCTCATGAATTCATAGAATTAAACGATGGCACTGAAGACATCAAGTTTAACCCCCTTCAGAATCTCTCTCTCTCTTTCTATTCATCCATCCATCCATCCATCCATCCATCCATCCATCTATATCTCTCTTTTTCTATCTATCATCTATCATTTCTCTCTCCCCCCCTCTTTTTCTGTATATAGATAGATCTTTCTATCATCTATCTATCTATCTATCTATCTATCTATCTATCTATCTATCTTCACTTGCCTTCTGAGCTACTGCTGTTACATTATGTACATGAATCATATCAGTGTTGGGTTTCAAAATTTTTTACTACCAGTTCTGTGGGCATGGCTTGGTGGGGGTGGCTTGGTGGGGGTGGCAGGGGAAGGATACTCTAAAATCTCCATTCCCACCCCACTCCAGACGAAGGATACTGTAAAATCTCCATTTCCTCCCAATCATCTGGGACTAGGGAGGCAGAGAATAGATGGGGGCGGGGCCAGTCGAAATTTTTACTACCAGTTCTCCGAACTACTCAAAATTTCCACTACTGGTTCTCCAGAACTGGTCAGAACCTGCTGAAATCCACCTCTGAATCATATACTGTAAGACAAAATCCATTTAAGAATACTGAATAAATTACAAGCCTCTCTAATAGTCAAAAAACTAGGATCTTCCGAAATAGCCTTAAATATAATACCATGCCCATCTCTTCTGAACGGAAGAATATTCTCATGTTTTGTTATTTTTTTCTCTTTTTATTATAATGCTGTCAATCATGACATATGGCATTATTTCAAGGCAGATTCCTATGCAATAATGCACATATGTTCTGTCAGGCATGAAAGTTTATTTAAGCTGATGTATATGGCCTACGCAAAGGAAATCTTCTCAACTAATGGTCACTTCTGGGTCCGTAGGGATTATAGGCTGGTCCCTCTTTTAATGTGATGACCCGGGACAAGGCACGAAGGTCACACAGCCAGCTGAGAGTTCAAACTCCCCTTTAATGCTCCAAATTTCCCCTCAAACGTTCCCACATTCTTGGCAGGTGACTCAGTTGTTAAATCCTCAAACCCCCACGGCTTCAATCTCAAACTGTCTACCGTGGACCTCACATCATTCCTAAGAGGTCTGTAAGGGGGGGTGCATAAGCGCACTGGCGTGCCTACCGTCCCTGTCCTACTGTCCCCATTTATTTATACCCATTGTCAGGTTTCAAGGTCGTCTCAAATAAATTGCATTTCAAACAAAGTCTTCGAAGGAAAACTCCTATTTATTAAGCATGACATTCTAAAATCCGACTCCATCTAAGCCAACACTGACTTCCAGACCCAAAACCCTCCCTTTCCGTTCCCCACTCCCCTGCACTCATTGGCCATCTTCCATGTCATTCTACCCCTAATCTACTGCTCCAGCTCAAAGGAATTTCCCCCCTCCCATCCCATCTCCTAGGGGATATTATCTCCAGGGCAAATAAGTAGGTGAAAAGTCAAACGTCCCTTTCCAGATGTGTCCGCTTCTCCTTCTTATGTCAGCACTATAGTAAATGCAGCTTGAAGTGCTGATACCCATTTCCTGTGTCCATGTCCATGTTTATACTTATATCTGTTATCTTGTACATGTTCGACAAATAAATTAAAAAAAAATACTAGCTCCCCCTGAGAAACTGGCAAAAATGTTTAAAGATAAATCGGCTATATGTTGGAAATGTCACCAGTTATCAGGTTCTTATTACCCTATGTGGTGGACATGTCCAGAAGCTAAAAATTATTGGAATAAAATTAAGATATGGCTGGAAGAAATGATACAACAACGTAAAACCAGAGTTGTTCCTACTGGGTATCCTGCCAGAAAAAATTAGCAAAGAAAATATTGATTTGTTTTTACATGTAATAACAGCTGCAAGGATTGTTTATGCACAACATTGGAAAGCAGAATAAAATTGGAAGATGAACAAGTTAAAGAAACAATGATTGCATGGGGGGAAAACTTTGGGCATGGAACTGATTTAGAGAAATGGCAAAAATTGTGGTTGCAAAATTATAAAATGACAATGTCAACAGCATATAAGGAAAATTTGTATATAAGATGTTTTACAGGTGGCATCTACCCCTGACGAGAATAGCCAGAATGTTCAAGAATAAATCGGAAAAGTGCTGGAAATGTCATCAGACACTGGGCTCATATGTAGAAGCCAAAAGATACTGGACTAAAATCCATACATGGTGTGGAGAAAATGATTAAAAAGCACATTGACTTTAAACCAGAGATTTTTTTTATTAGGGATTTATTCTTACCAGAAACATATAACAGAGAACTGAGTTACTTGATTGTGAATGTATTGACAGCGGCTAGAATTGTATTTGCTAAAAATTGGAAAAATGAGGAAATACCTAAACAAGATGATGTCATTAGGAAAATTATGGAATGTGCTGAAATGAGCAAATTGACATTTGAAATTAGAGAACAGGAAGATAAACAATATTATAAGATATGGGATTTATTTTATCAATGGCTAGATAATAAATCATGGGCCAAATTTATTTAATTATTTTAAATCTATTTTAACTTTTGTGTATAAAGTGTTTTACTTTGGCTGTTCACCGCCCTGAGTCCGAAAGGAGAAGGGCGGTATAGAAATCTGCACAACATTGGAAAGCAGAATAAAATTGGAAGATGAACAAGTTAAAGAAACAATGATTGCATGGGGGGAAAACTTTGGGCATGGAACTGATTTAGAGAAATGGCAAAAATTGTGGTTGCAAAATTATAAAATGACAATGTCAACAGCATATAGGAAAATTTGTATATAAGATGTTTTACAGGTGGCATCTACCCCTGACGAGAATAGCCAGAATGTTCAAGAATAAATCGGAAAAGTGCTGGAAATGTCATCAGACACTGGGCTCATATGTAGAAGCCAAAAGATACTGGACTAAAATCCATACATGGTGTGGAGAAAATGATTAAAAAGCACATTGACTTTAAACCAGAGATTTTTTTTATTAGGGATTTATTCTTACCAGAAACATATAACAGAGAACTGAGTTACTTGATTGTGAATGTATTGACAGCGGCTAGAATTGTATTTGCTAAAAATTGGAAAAATGAGGAAATACCTAAACAAGATGATGTCATTAGGAAAATTATGGAATGTGCTGAAATGAGCAAATTGACATTTGAAATTAGAGAACAGGAAGATAAACAATATTATAAGATATGGGATTTATTTTATCAATGGCTAGATAATAAATCATGGGCCAAATTTATTTAATTATTTTAAATCTATTTTAACTTTTGTGTATAAAGTGTTTTACTTTGGCTGTTCACCGCCCTGAGTCCGAAAGGAGAAGGGCGGTATATAGAAATCTGGAAAATAAATAAATAAATAAATAAATAAATAAATAAATAAATAAATAAATAAATAAATAAATAAATAAATAAATAAATAAATAAAACATGGAAATGAAATATGAAATGGATGTTACAATACAATATATGGAAATGATATTAAGGGGATGAAAATGCCATTGTTAAATGAATGGTAAATGAGAATAATGATATAAAGATATATGTTAGATTGATAATATGAGAAATTAGAAGATTAGTAAATGATGAATATGAGATGAAGCACAAAAAATTTGTAACCGACCGACACACTACTTGTAATTGGAATGGATGATGGATGTTTTTATGTTTTGTTTAAAAATTAAAAAATATTTTTTTAAAAAAAAAAACATTGGAAAGCAGAGAAAATACCTTTGGAAGGAGAAATAATTAAAAAAAATTAGATTGTGCAGAAATGAATAGATTGACTTTGATGATTAAAGAAAGAGAAGATTCAGAATACTTTAAGATATGGAATCTATTCTGTTATTGGTTAGAAAAGAGATACAAATAAGTAAATTAATAGTAATGTATAAAAATGCTATAATCAGAATATTTTGTTAGTGATGAATTGTTGTAATTGATTGGATGAGAATGAAGACAGGAGTAATAACAAAAAGATGAACGACTGGAGACAACACCGAGATGTCACATGGAAGGAATGACTGATATATTAAATGCTTGTTTGTTTAAAAAATAATAAAAAAAAAACTTTCT